GGTGAGATGGGAATGGATCATCGTCTGGAAAATTAGAGAGGTCAAAAGCAAAATTTGTACCATTTTCATTAGGTATTGCTTCCTTGACAGAAGTCAACAAAGCAGTCAACCTGTGTTCTCAGACTTTTGCAGCTTCCTCTTGACAAAATTCCCTCGTATTGGCTTTAGCAACTAGTTTCTCTACACGAGAAATCTAGCGATCCTCCCTAGCTAGCATCACCGAAAATTCTATCAACACAAGTGTCAAAGTATGCTTGACCGTAGGAGTTGACCCATCAAATGAATAAGAAGAAGCCACAACAGATGAAAAAACAAACGCCTTTCAGGACACAAAACCTTCAAGAGCTTCCTTATCACCGACAAATCACTACTACAAAATACACCTTCAGTAACATAATACTACTAAGGTTATACTTTCCACCGTTTTAATATCACAAATTGGATGCACCTGATGCTTATTTATTATTTTGAAAGTTATTTAATCACAATTGATATAAACAACCGGGGTAATAAAGTAAGTGTTACAAGGTTCGAATCCTACCAACTACATTTTTTTTTTCATTTTTCTTATTACAAAAAGCGTGCTTAAGTTCATAAGTAAATAAAAAACTAGAATAGGACCTGCGAATCGGGTGGTAAAGAAGTTCGTGCAGATAGTAAATTGAAGTTGTTGAAATAAAATAAGACTTTATTTATTGTAGATATTATTTATTATAAAAACTCTATAACATAGACAATACGATTAGCATAACAAAAAAAATAGTTTAATTTTAATTGAAAAGTGATACATTTACAAATAATGGAAATGCAAGGTGAGAAGTGACTCGTCGTCAGAAGATAATATTTGAAGTTCATTGTTGGTACTATTATTTTTTGAATTCTCTTTGATATGTGTTTCATCATCCGATGATGTTATGATTAGCCTTCGTTTAACACTGCGAATTTTTGTTTTTGTTTTCTTGTATGGTTTACCATTATTGTTGTCTGTCATCAATTCCTCTTCTTCTTCTTCTTCTTCTTCTTCTTCTTCTTCTTCTTCTTCTTCTTCTTCTTCTTCTTCTTCTTCTTCTTCTTCTTCTTCTTCTTCTTCTTCTTGGTGACCTTCTTTATTTTGAATCATTGAAGGTGTTATGGACTCCTATATGTAATAAGTATATTGTTAGTATTCATAAAGTTAGTAGTATATTTGTATAATTATAATACATATTTAATTACCTATTTAATAGGTGTTTTTTGAATTGGTTCTTGTAGAATAGTGGTTGGTACAAAAGTTTGTGATCTTAACAATTTTATTCCTATGAATAAATTATGTTTAGAATATTTAGATTAATTTTAATTTAATATACTTATTTTATATATGAATATATAAATAAGACAATATGCATAGTTGAAATCTTACTCTTGTAGCCTAAACTCAAGTTTGAGAATTTTTGTAGGTTTTCCTTGTATGTAAACGTGTTCTTCATGTCCAATAGCATGAAACACTCAAATCATGTCTGAAAAGAAACATGAATATAGTTATATAATATGATTTTTATTATTGTAGGGTAACTTATGTATAACACTACCAGAGAGAACATTGGTGTCTCTAACTCTTTCTGAAATTGTTTCTATGGTAACAAATTTAAAATAATGACATGAATATTTTTTAAAACTTTGACCGGTTTGTATGTTTCATTTGTCAGAACTATTTTTATATTTTTTATGGTATGTAAATTTTCCTCTTGTATCCATTCTCTAAAATATGGTATAATATATTTGTTTATCGTTTCCCTCTTGTATCCATTCTCTAAAATGTGGTATAAGATATTTGTTTATCGTTACATGTAAAGGAGTTCTCTGAAGAAAAAAATGTAGCAATAAAATATTAAAATCAACAGTTTTATACAGAAAAAATAATAAAGTTAAATATTTTGAATATAAAAGTATATTTTGTTAACAGCTAATACAATATTTTCGATAAAGAGTTAATAACTTCACATCTAATAAAATCATTTCGGGAAACGTTTTTTTCTTCATCGTTTCGCAGATAATAAACGTCATACAATCGAACGACTCTGACTCGAAGTAGACAATCATCACGATCGGTGTTAAGATCTAAGATAAAAAAATTTATTGTTGATTGTATGGTAATATGGATATGTGGTGAATTTGATCGTTGTTATGGTGTGGTACTAAAAAAGTTAACAGATTGTTGTTTATAGAAGACAATATGTTCCTATGACGGTAACATATGTGTTTTTTTATGTTTATATTTTTTAAACGGCTAAGTGAATGCAGTTGTGATAATAATAAATGAATATTCTATGCAACGGTAAACCACTGATTATAAAATTCAAATCCAAATAATTCATAATTATACTAAAATTGAAATTATCAATAATTAAATACGTAAATACCCAAGTCCATAAATTCATCGGTTAACTTTCATGATTTTAAAAATAGTTTAATTTTTTTATTGTCATTTCATGTGTTATATTTTTTTAAAAAAATTGGTATAAATATTTATACTAATAATATACGTATTTATAAAGTATTTATAAAAAGAAAATATTATATTTTCATAATATTTTATTATATATGGTATTAATATTGGGGATAAAATATTAATTATATGTATTATTTTTTTAATGTTCAAGTAAAATAAAATAGCATATTTATTATTCATATATATTTTTTAATTGTCAATAATAATCAAAATTTATATATATATATATATATATATATATATATATATATATATATATATATATATATATATATATATATATATATATATATATATATATATATATATATATATATATATATATATATATATATATTATTTTTATTCTTGAATTTAATTGAGAACAACTTTCAATATAGTTTATTGTAAATATTTTATTAAGATTTGGTTTCTTCTATTAGTATTACAAATAAACATTATTTTTTATAGAGACTAAATTATTTTTTTTATGATTCAAATATATTTAATTTGAATATTTTAATTAATGGGTAGCAATTCATATAACTATAATATATGTTAAATGATGATGAGTGAATTTTAATAAAATTGATTATGAATATTTTTTAAAGTAACCTTCTTTTTTATTTATATATATAAATAGAAAAATATTTAATCTTATTAATATTTCAGATAATGATTAATATATATAATACATTATACATATTTTCATGCTTTTGGTTTTTAAATGTGTAAAATTAATTCTCCTAATAATAACAAATTATGTATATTTGATAGAATATAATTTAACTAGTCAATTAATATTTGTTTTTATTATTTATAATTTAAAAACAATATAAAGAATATTATTTTGATTATAAAAATTAAAAAATCTAATTAATTATAAAGATGAATAAAATGAAATGATATCTTTTATATTGAAAAACATTGATAATAATATTTATAATAATGATAATAATAACAATAATAATAATAATAATAATAATAATAATATAGAAGTAAACCATGTATATTGATTATTAATTATAAATTATAATGTATATTATAACTGGAATCCAATTAATTATTAATTGTCATAAAATTAATTGTTAAATGTGTTTAATATGATTGTCACAATAATAAATGAATATTATTTCTAAGTTATAACGCAATTAGAATCCAATTAATTCTTAATTATGATAAAATTGGATTATTAATTATTTAATATGGAAGAAAAAAAACTTATCAATCAATTATAAACCGTATGAGTTATGAGTTATAATGAGCATTAATTCAGTATAAAATTTTATTATTATATCACCACAATATGTAACTTAAAGTCCATCCATTCCTCGATCTTTTTTCATGATCTAAAAAATAGTCTATATTTTTAAATGATATAAACATTTCAATTTAGTTCACAAGTGAAATTGATAATTTATTATCGTTATTATGAAATAAATAGTTGTATATTAATTCAAAAAACAAGTCAAGTACAAAAGGTGATCTAGAGAAGATCCATCCCAAAAGACATGTTTCCTAATTCTATTGTTTTGCCAGCCTATATATATCACATTATCTATGAATTTTGCGACCATGTTTGTATTATCTACTATGTTTACAAAAGTAATACTATTTCTAAATCCAAATGTTGTAGATGGTTTCCACTGTTACCACATCCTTTCCCCTTTGTTTGATGAGTGATTCGCATACCATTTGAATATTTCTAGCCAAATGTGTCTTATTCTTGGACAGAGAAGAACATATGGCTTATCGTTTCCTCCTCTGATTTACATTCTTTCTTTGGTTGGTTGCAAGCTTCCCATGACAAGCTTGCCATAAACATTGGACTTCTCGGTCCTTTGTTGCACCCGATCAGTCTTCTCCAGTGCACATAATGCTGCCTGATCCAAGAATGATGTGGTTTGGGAACATAATTCATCACATTATTACCTTTTAAGTAATGAGTATGTATCCATTTAACCATAGAGTGTCATAGACATGTCTATTTCAAGATCCAAGTCTGAAGGTTTAGTATGTTCATCCCACCTTGCTGCATTGTATAGGATCAAGAGTAGCACGTTGTTCCAAGTCTGAAGGTTTAGTATGTTCATCCCACCTTGCTGCATTGTATAGGATCAAAAGTAGCACGTTATTCCAAGTCTGAAGGTTTAGTATGTTCATCCCACCTTGCTGCATTGTATAGGATCAAGAGTAGCACACGTTGTTCCAAGTCTGAAGGTTTAGTATGTTGCGCAACAGGCCTGCACGTGGTTTTCCAAGCCATAGGGCATTTTCTGCTCGCAGCATCTTTTCCTGTCCGGATGAAGCTCCGACATATTGCATCGACTTTTTTGATCACGTATTTGGGCAGAGGGAGGCAATGCATCCAGTATTGTACCATTGCATAAGTTATGCTTTTCACTAGTTGTATTCTACTGGCATAACTTAGAGCCTAGAAGACCAATGATGAATTCTAGCCACTATTTTATCCACCAATGGCATAAAATGGGAAAATGGGTGATGATTAATCGTTTGCTATTAAGAGAGATTCCTAGGTATTTGAAAGGTAGCCTTCTTGAAAACCCAATAGCTCCTTCAAACTCTTTCTAGTTTCCATATTCAAAGCCCCAAAATAAATCTTGCATTTGTTAGGGTTCATCATCAGTCCCGTGGATTTGGAGAAATTTCTGAAAGTTTCTGCAAAAGTGAGGTTGGTAATTTTCAAACTCTCACATTTGGCATGGTAATTAAAATTAGGGTCCCTTTGCATTTTGACCAACAACTTGTTCATGTACTCCATAATGAGGACAAATAACATAGGTGATAGAGGATCACCTGGTCGAATTCCTCTTTTGGCTTGAAGGACCTCAGTGTAATCCCCCATGATGTTAAACGTGTAGGATACCGTGGTGATGCCAAGCATAGTCCACTGGATGAATTTATTTGGAATGCCTAACTCCTTCATTATGAACTCTAGTGCTTTCTAATTAACCATATCATATGCTTTTTGCAAGTCGATTTGCATCATAATTCTAGGTGTGCCCCCTTTTCTAGTGTACCCTTTTAGAAGTTCAGTAGCAAGCATGATGTGGTTATGAATGTTTTGACCATGTATAAAAGCTGTCTGATTGTGGCTTATCACACTAGGAAGGACAGATCCCAGTCAGTCAGGATTTTGGAGATGATTTTATAAAAGGTGGTGCACACAGCTATGGGTCTGTAATCTTTAATCTCATAAGCCTTATTGCTTTTTGGAATTTGGGGTACAACAACATTGTTGAAAGGTTTGTATATTTTACCTGTTTCGAAAAACTCCCTTATCGCTGCTATCACATCAGTTTTAATGGTTGTCCAGCTGGTCTTGAAGAATTTGACTCTATAACCATCCAGGCATGGTGCTTTGAGGTCGCCAATTCCTCTAAGGGCTTTGATGATATCATCCTCTGTGATATTTCTGCTCCATGTTGATGTGATTTTATTGTTAAGTACTAAAATTAAAAATTAAATTAACCGTAGATAGATAGTAAAAAATATAATATAATATAATTTAATTAGTTTTTAAAAAGTAATAATTTTAACAATATAAAATTTAAATATTTATTATAATTATTATTGCATTTTATCGGGAATAACTTTAAATAATACTTTATTGTAAATATTATAACAACATTTGGTTTTTATAATGATGGCATTAATTTTATGACATTAATGTTGTAAAAAACATTACAATGATTTATAAAGTTTTGTCTTAAAAATAGTTGACCCTCTTCTATTATTAGTGACAAATAAACTTTAATTTTTATAGAGAATAAAATTATTTATTGTAACATTTTATTATCCTTTATTAATATTAAAGATAAAATATTATATGTCTTATATTTATTAATGTTCAACTAAAATAAAATAGCATATTTAGTATTTATATTTATTTTCCAATTTTCAGTAATAACAAAATATTTAAATATTTATTTTTTCCATTATTGAATTTAATTATGAAAATTTTAAATATAGTTTATTGTAAATATTTTATCAAGATTCGATTTCTTTTATTAGTATCACAAATAAATACTTTTTCAGAGAGACTAAATTAATTTTTTATGATTCAAGTGAATCTTATTTTAATATTTTAATTAATGTTAGAAATAACATTTGATTGTATATAAATTAATTAGTAATTTAACATCTATAATTATTATTAATAATTTAACAATAAAATGAAGAATATTACTTTGATTATTAAAAGTAACAAATATAATTAATTGTAAAGATGAATAAAATGATGTACAAAATGATCTCTTTTATATTGATTATGTACAATGTATATTTTAAAATATTTATATAAATATTTATAATAATAATAAGTAAACTTTATATATATATATATATATATATATATATATATATATATATATATATATATATATATATATATATATATATATATATATATATATATATATATATATATATATATATTGATTATTAATTATTAATTATAATGCAATTAGAATCTAATTAATTGTTAATTATCATAAAATTAATTATTAAAGATGTAAATTTTTTATTATTAAACATGTAAAATATGATTATCATAATAATAAATGAATATTATTTCTAAAATATATTGTATTTAGAATCCAATTAATTCTTAATTATGGTGAAATTGAATTAGCCAATTATTTAACAAACAACCATATCATTCTGTTTTAAACTGTATCAGTTGCGAGTTATAATCAACCTTAAATCAATTTAAATTTTATTATTATATTTATCAATATTTTTTACTCATGTTCATCCATTCATAGGTTTTCTTTCTTGATCTAAAAAATAATTTATTATATTTATTGTCATTATTTCAGGTGTTTTCTTAATTGATATAAATGTTTATAGTAATAATAATACACGTGTTTATTATTTTATGGGTAATGTTAACTTGTGCCCTTGGGACACATGTTAAGAAAGTTACTTATAGTAAATTTGCATTGTAAAAAACGATTTAAAAACTAATTTTATACTTTAATTAAAGTTTGTACACAATTTTCAAAACAATATTTCTTAATTTAGTTCTTAACATATGCCCCAAAGGCACAAGTTAACATTAACTTTATTTTATTTATAAAAATAAAATATTTGATTTGTGTAAGATTTTATTACGTGCAATAAATATTTGGAATAAAATAGTATATGTAATAATTTTTTTAATGTTTATAAATATAATAATATATTTAATATTCATATATATTTTTTAATTTTCAATAATAATTTTAATATTACACATTTAATTATTTTTTATATTCATTATTTAATGATGGAATTAATTTTATGACATTGATTTTTTCAATAATTTTTTAACAATCATTTATGACCGTTTCGTGCTCATAAATAATATTTTATTTATAATTTTTTTTGATAGATAATATAGTATCTTAAAATAATAATATTAATGGTTAAAAGGAAGTGTAGTGTAATTGTTTCATTATAATTTTAATTAATGTTTTTAAAATTATTTTGATTATTAAAACTAATAAATATAATTAATTACTAACATGAATAAAATAATATACAAAATGATATTTATTTATTTATTTTTTCCTATATTATATCTAAAAAATTTAAATGAATATTTATAATAATATTAATATATAAGTAAATGCTTTATTTTGGTAATTTTTTTGTTATTGTCCTTTATGCTATTAATATTTGAGATAAAAAATATTATATGTTTTATATTTTTTAAAAATTGAGCGGAATAAAATAGTATATTTATTATTTGTACAAAAAATAATATTCACCAAAAAAATGTATAAAATTATATTTTCCTATAATATTGATAACACAAATAACAAAATTGGAGATTTTCTGAAAGGAAAAATCAAAATCATTATATTTATCAAAAATTATAATCAACTATTGGAGATTTACGGAAAGGAAAAATCTAAGCGGAATCGGAGATATCCAATATTGAATTCTGCCCGAACAGCCGCATGAATAACGAATGTTGCAATCTTAATCCCAAATCGATTTGTCAGAAATTGCACGAAGGGGAAACTTGAACAAACTCGAACCGTCATAATCGTAGAACAACAAGGCTTTCTGAGATATTGGAAACATGAGAAGCGATTATTTTTGTCACTTGATAGTGGTATTGGAGTATTAGGAAAAGTGAAAAGAGGATTTTTGATAGTAAAATAGTCAAATAATCTGAAACTGTGGAAACTCGAACTTTCAATTTGTTGAAAATTGTAGGCAGGGGAAACTCAGGCTTCTTGAGATATTGAAAACATGAGGAGCAATTAGTGTTAGGTGTAGCAAAATAGTTTGATGCATTAGATTTAATATATATAAATAGATTGAAAATTATTTAAACACAGATTAACCGTTGTAATATAATCAGTACAACCTTTACCCTTCCCAAAAGAGAAAAATGACTATAATGATGATTGAAATTTTTCTTCATTTTTCAAGACAGTCACAAGTCACTCAAGAATATTAGATTTTTGTAGTGCTAGGAGATATTGTTCGGACAAAATTATGTTTTATGTACTCTTTTCTTATGAGCCTCCTAATAGAACTTCTTTTTTATTGTTTTATATACTCTTTCCTACTTAACCACAGTTTTACTATACAACCGTCATAAAATTTGAAAATTGTATCACGGTTTTTCTTTGCCAACCGTGATGTAAAGTGATATTTTTTAATATATAAGCGAAAATATCTATCGTTCAGTACGTAACAGTCGTTTCTCTCAAAAGTAAAGCTTAACATATTCACTTTTCTCTCTCATAACATAACCCTAACATCTCTTTCACTCTTTAACATACTTCAACCTTCAGATTTGTCTTCGTCAATTGCTACCTTGAGGTTTGAGGTTCGTTCATTAAACTTATGCTTCAATTTCGTTTAAGTTTTTTTATTAAAAATGAATTCTCGTTTTTTTATTTGGTGAATGTTCTCATTTTTTCAGATTTGTCTTCACCAGTTCAACAAAACGCATACTTTGACTATGGTACATATGGTTTGTGTTGTTGTGAAGAAAAAAATACAAGAAGTATGAAGCTATTATGTAAACTTCATTCACCTTGTACCTCTTCTTCATAGCATCATAAACTAGATAAACTTCATAATTTGTTCCAATTCCATGATTAGTTTCAAAAAAAGGTGCGCTCTTGAAATATTCTATTATATCTTGTCTTGTTGTATGTTGTTGTTGTATGTTATTGTTGTTGATTAATGTTCTCAGAACTTTATAATTTGTTATTGTTTTTGTTTATTATATCTTGCGCTCTTAAACCTTATTTATTTATTTTGTTGTATATTTTTGTGTTGTTGATAAATGTTGTTGTATGTTGTTGTTGATGATTAATAATTTCAGAACAAGAACAAAACATTGCTAAGTCACAAGAAAGAAGTTTCTTGTGACTTAACAATATCAGTAAATTCTTATGCAGATTGCACAGTAGATGAAGTTGAGTTTATTATATGCTATGTAGATTGTTTGTTCCACTAACTCTTCACTAAAAATACATTTCATTTAAATTGATATAAAAACTTATAATCTGAAAATTAAGTTGTATTTGAAAACCAACCTATATCAATCAATATTTTTCGAATTGCATTTGTCTCATCGTTCATCTCACGCTTTTTAACCTATAGAATGTGGTTCAATGATCTGATTCCTTCATTACATCCATATATTCTCTTATAGTTTAATTTGAATTACAACAATTTATTAATATTATTCAAATTAAACTAGAATAGAAAAAATCGATGTCATGAAGGATTTAGACCATTGAACCACATTCTATATGTTAAAAGAGCGAGAAATGAATGGTGAGACGCATGCAATTTAGAAAACAATAGTTTGTTTAAGTTGGTTTTCAAGAATAACTTAATTTTTAGATTATATACTTCTTCATCAATTTGTATGGTTATGTTGTTGTGAGATTTATTGAAAAACAAACAATTTACATATTTTATAATAAACTCTAGGCACTTTCAACAACGGTTATCTATTTTATCCGTGACGAAATATTATTTACCTAAATATATATACCACAATGGTTGATACAAGTAACCGTTGTGCTAGGTAGCGCGCGTTCTGCCTTACTATCACGGTCTCGCAACCGTGGTGGAAAACACTAGATATATAATCACCCCTTACCTCACAACGGTTGGTCAGATGTTTTGGTATCTCTTTTCTAACCGTTGTGATATGACTTTTTCGTAGTAGTGAACCTATCTTCATGAATCCTACACAGCTTATCCTTAGAAATATACGTCTTTATCATCTTGATGATAAAACATTTGGATATCGACATGTTCATCAAACATCTCCATTGCTTCCAAAAGCTCGTACTCAAAAGAAGTGATGTCATTCTGCTCTAGATAGTCTAAATTAGTGATGGGTAGAAAAAGGGACAATTTTCACCCGCCATGCAAACATACACATCAAGAACAAATCAGCCTCGTCAGCTCTTGTCCAAGTTCTTGCTTTCCGTTATAAATTCTTCATAATTATCCAATGGAGCATTTTCACTTCGCACTTCATTTGACTTATCTGAAAGTTTGAAACATCCAAATGATCTTTAACCAGAGATTTAGTTATAGATTCCACAAATAAAATACGCTAGAATAAGGAGTATGGTGTTGGGGATCTACTTCATTTCCTTTGTACTCCAACCCGAGAACTTCAAAGAAATTTGCATAAGTAAACTTAACCAACCTTCCTCTCAATTAACACTCTAAATCACTTTTCATGCTTTTGACATTGCAATAGAATGTCTTCACATGATATATGTTAAACTTCTTACTCATATACAAAAACCTTTGCAAATTGTGATTTTCAAAAACTTCCATAAAATGCATGTTCAAAGCATATTTATTTCCACTGCTGTAGAATCAAACACACATTAAATATGTATCTTTCATCACTTATTACATAAGAATCACCTTCCTTAAAAACATTGTTCTAATCACCCAAAATCACCAAACATGAGACTGAATATTGACTTCCTACACAAATTCATAAGTCCAAACTAAATGACTTTTTATGCTTCTTCCATCCCATCAGCTCCAACAATCACAAGCTCTTTCTCAACAATGTCATTAGTCTCAAGATTGTTGTTTTGAACTTTGTACTCATGCTTCATGGCCAAGAAAAGAAAAAGAACAAAATTCAACACTCCAAGCATTGCTAGCATCCAATAAAAGTCATCTAACCTACCCTTATCAAGATTACTCTTCAACCACCTTTTCTTGCTTACTTTGTCCACAAGTGATACCAATAAGCTACTCACAAAAAATCCCATTGAAAGTGTGGTTAGAAAAAAACCAGTACTCATAGATTTCATTTTCTCAGGTGCTTCCCTTATGAAAAACTCTAACTGTCCAACATAAGCAAAAGCTTCTCCAGCACCAACTAGAAAAAACTGTGGTACAAGCCAAAAAGCACTTATTTTAGTGTCCTTTTTGACTGCATTATCTCTTCTTTCTTTCTCAACAATCGCAGAAACTGCCATTGCAAGGATAGAGAAAATAAGTCCAATTCCAACTCTTTGAAGACTTGTGATTCCTTGAACATTGTGAGTGAATCTTCTTGCCATAGGTACAGTGATTTTCTCATTTAGGGAAGTGAAAAGGAGAATTGTGATGAAGAGAAAAGCTGATAAGGATCCTGATGGGATAACTAGAGATCCTACTTTTCTGTTCATGAATGTTGCTTGCTCAATAGTGAAGGTGTTCATTTGTGAGTAAACTGTCCAAAAGAGAATGCATGTTGACCAAATGGGAATGAGCTTGATTACCATTTTAACCTCTTCAACTTGAGTCATTGTTGCAACCAACCATGGAGTTTCTTTGTTTTCATCTTTTGAGTTTGCCTCACCTAGGATTGCCGCTTTGTCAAGAGACCTATCATACAAAATTCCATGCAGTGAGAATATAATTATCAGACAAATGTCTAGCTAGCTGTAATGGATTGCATGTTGTCAACATTTCATATAGTTGTAATTTTATTCGTACACTCTGGTTTGTCAAAATCTCGATCTAAAATTTAAAATTTTATGATTTTGCGATCTCATTCACCTCAACGGTTCAGATCTTAAGTAGAATCATGTGTATTATAGCCAAATTGTAAAAAAATACACCTGTCTAACAAAATACATTTCTGCTCCAGTCATTTTCCTACAAATACACCTGTCTAACAAATACGTTTCTGCTCCAGTCATTTTCCTACAAATACACCTGTCTACCAAAACATCATGTAAAAACACATCAAATGTATAGTATTATTTATAGTTTTAGTACGATCTTATGATTTTTGTACGATTTTAACTCTTATGATCTTGCTACTCTCTCGATTTTACAAAAATACTTGGGTAGAATACTCCTATTCTTAGTTACGATCTTATGTTTTAAGATCTTAATCATCATGATGAAGATCAGATGGTTATAACTTTAAGTTGTATTGTAAAGTCGGAATATATTTAAGCATCATTTAAGATTCCTTAAAGATATTTTGCTAGATTGTTGATCAATCAAATATAAGTAATGTCTTTTTCTGAAAATGAAACATGCATGAAACGACAACATGATTTCTAAAAAGCAAAACACTTTGCCTACCACCAATAACTAATAATAATCATCACAACCATGTTAAAGTGATTAGTAAGCAATAATTGAAGAAAAATCCAATCATGTTCATCTAACTAATACTTCTATTCACTGCTTTAAAACAATGATGACAGATACCTGAATCTATCTGTATGTGGGACCTTAGCTTCAACATAACCATGGAGAAAACAAGGTTGTGAAGGTAGAGGAAGAGTCCTATTTTTCCAAGCCAAGAACAATACTCTCCATATAACAGTAAAAGGACTTCCTTGTGGTTTCTTGAATCTATAAAATGGAGTACCACAAAGCAAAACACAAACTGCAACCACCATTGTTCCTGCGGAAATTCCATATCCCCAACCTCTTCCTATGTTGTCTTGAACATAGACCAACACAATAACTGAGAATAAAGATCCAATACTTACGAAAAAGTAGAATCTGTTGAAGAAAAATATCATCTTCTTTTCTTCTTTTGGATCTCTTGTGTCAAATTGATCGGATCCGAAACCGGACACATTGGATTTTATTCCTCCGCCGCCTAAAGCTGTTGTGTATAGAGCTGCATAGAGAAGTGCTAACTGTTTTCCGGTGGCGGGGATGCACTCGTGGTGTTTTTTTCTTACTTCACTGCATGGAGGTGGTAGCATGCTTGGAATTGTTGTAGCTAAAGTTAACAAACACACTCCCTATTGCATGCAACACATTGATTCACAAGAAAAAATAACTAGTTAGTTTTTCCTATGCAATATAGACACTTCGTATTCAATTGAAAACGAGTCTAGTGTATGGTGTCAGACGTGAGACATTCAATTATTTTCATTTTGAATAGCGTATCCAGTAACATTAAATTATTTTAATTTCACTTGTCGGTATTGTATTCGGTGTCAGTGTTAAATTATTTTCACTTGTCGGTATTGTATTCGGTATCAGTGTTAAATTATTTTAATTTTCACTTGTCAGTATTGTATTCAGTGTCAGTGTTCACGCATCCCCGTGTTCACGCTTCCCGGCAACAGCTAGAGAACTGTTGCATGTTATCTGCATGAATTTTGAATAGCGTTTTGGTTTGGTTTACGAGATGTAAGTTCATTGGCAAGAGTTTGACATTTAATCAAAAACAAACGAAAAATTGACATATTAGTGACATTTTAATTAACAATAATTGTGAATTCCACTTAACATGAAAAGGGTGTGCTAATAAATCCAAAAAGTGAGATTCTGCTTTAATAATTATTATATTCAAAAGATTGAAATTTTTTACCATTGCTGCTATGGATGCAAATATCACAACAGTGACATATCTGCCAAGCTTTACATCAGCTAAAATGCCACCAAGAAGGCCAAGCAAGTTGAGCGTTCCCATAAAATTAGTAACAATGGTAGCAGAAAAAGCTGAATCAAGATGCAAATTTCCAACCAAGTAAGTCACCAAGTTCATGGATATTCCCATAACACATATTCTTTCAGCAAGTTCAGTACCTGCGTACGCACGCACACGCACACGAGCACAAAATAAAATGTTTATGATGGAACCAAATTAATATTCAACCTTGAAAATTTCTTTGTATATTGAGAAGAAGAACCTAAGATAAGTCCTGCAGCTAACCACCCTCCAGTTTTTGTTTTATCAACGGGGCGACCACGAAAATCGACGGCAGCATTATCTTCCGCGCCTTTCTCCTCTCCATTACTTGCAACATGAACCTACCAAAACAATACAAAACATAAAGCTTTCAACAAAGCTATAAGGTTTTGAAACATAGAAAAAAACATTTAAGATGAAGTGAGTACCATGTTTTATGTCTTGTTGGAGAGAATGAGTAGAGATAACGTTAAAGTGTTTCACCTCAAAAATACTTGTGGTGTAGAGTGTAGAGGAATTAAAGGTATAGAAGAAGAATGAGATTTGAAATGATAGAGGTTTTTGTAGTGATATGCTTTGGCATACTATCTTTCAATAGGTCCATTTGTTATCTTATCTGCCCAAAACTGTATAATGCACAAAACTATGTCCCTAAGCCCGCCCAAGGGTAAGGCAGGTTAAGTCCTTGTCTTGGGGCCAAAAAAAATTTCAAATTTTTTTAAGGTTTAAAAAATATGAAAATATAGTATTTGTTAAGTATAATTGTAAAAATATTCAATTGGAGACTTAGTTTGATATGAAAAAGTGAAGGAAGATAGTTAGAGGTCTTGTGGTGGAATTCTCGTGAGACATTTTGACGTCTGGTTATTTTATTATTTACAAATAAAAAATTATTATTATTATTTATTTAATCATAATACTAATTTAATATTTAATTTAAAAATTAAATGAATTTTTAATTTTGATAATTGTTAATTCTTACTTTATCATAAATAATATAACATGAATATTTTATGTGAACTAAAATTATATTTAACTCATAATTTTAGTATAAATAGACTATTGATAATTATAAATTTTACTATTCATATTTTTTTTAATATTAGTTTTGTAAAATTTAATTTTTCTTATCACTCTTTCTTATATAAATGACTTTAAAAAATTGATAAATAAAATATTTTAGTTTAATTAAATGCAAAGATTAACTATATATAAAAAAAACTTCTTATTTTATTTTTTTAAGTCGTTTATTTATAAGATAATTTAATCTTGATAAAATGACATGAATATTTAAGTGTCGGCTTTAACGATTTTAAAAATATTTTAGAATATTTTTTAAATATTAGAATAAAAAGTGTCATTTTAGTATGTCTTAAGCCTCACATTATATTATCGGCCCTAGTTCCATATTTTGGAATTATATAGCCTATGATTGTATGATTGTGTGGTATGTGTTAAATTTTATGTCCCATGTGAAATTATATAGTCTATCATTGTGTGGTATGTGTTAAAGTTTAAATAGCTTTTGAAAGTGAGAGAAAGTGAGAGACTTGTATTCCTAACTTAGATCCTAACTTTCCATCATGAAGTCATAGTCACAGTGAACAAATGATAAAGGATAATCATCTATGAATGAAAGATCTTCTTTGTGAGTCATGAATATTTTTGATAAGTTCATGGTGTAATGATTGATTAATAAGTTGAATAAAGGTGCGTGGAATCTGTTAAATATAATTCATAGTCTAAACATATTTGATTTGATATGATTTGATTTGATTTGAATATTTTTAGCCTTTTATGTTTTGGGCTTTTGTAAACCTAAAACTATAAATAGCATTGCTTTGTATTCAAACACAACATAGAACAGATTTCACAGTTGCAGTGTTTAGCAAGTGAAAGTTCTATGAGTAATAAGAAATCCCACAGTTTGTGGGTAACAATTTTCTCCAAATATTTTCTTCTCTCATTCTTCTCTTTCTTGTTTGTTATTCTTCTTCTCTTTTGTTGTTCTTGATAACTCTTTACTTGTTATCACCATTACTATCATATTGTGGATTTGTTCGTCAATCTTGAGATCAAGATTGAAGGGAATTCTTCATAGAGTGTGAGGTGAATTTCCAACATCTGGTATCTAGAGCTCCGGTTGAGAGATTCAAGGAAGGAAGATAGTGATGGCGATGAACTATCCGAACGGAAACTTTCCGGCGACCCTGCCAATTCTCAAGAAAGACAATTATGAGAATTGGTGCAAGCAGATTAAGGTGATTTTCTGTTATCAAGATCTTTGGGATCTTGTGAAGGACGGAGTAACATCGCTTGGGGAGAACGCAACGGAGGCGGAAAAGGCTGCGCACAAAGAATTGAAGAAGAAAGATTATAAAACACTCTTTATAATTCATCAGTGTGTTGATCCTGATAACTTTGAAAAGGTTAGTAATGTTGATTCAGCAAAAGAAGCATGGGAGATTCTTGAAAAGTCGTTTGGAGGCGCAGAGAAGGTGAAAGAGGTGAGGTTACAAACTCACAAGAGAACCTATGAGTTGCTTCAGATGGAAGACAACGAAAGCATTACATATTTCTTCACCAGAGTTACAAAGTTGGTGAATCAAATCAAAGTATGTGGAGAAGCGCTGACGACGAAAGCAGTTGTCTCAAAGATTTTGAGATCGTTGGCTCCAAAATTCGACCACGTGGTAGTTGCCATAGAAGAGTCAAAAGATCTGTCAGTGTTGACGAAGGAAGAGCTTCATGGGACTCTTGAGTCTCATGAACAGAGGATGGTTGAGAGAGCTGCAGGAAAGTCGAAAGATGTGTCTTTGCAGGCGCAGTCAGAAAAGGAAAGAAAAGGCAAAGGTAGCTGGAATGACAACAAATGAGGAAACCAGTCGAATCAGAAGAAACCTTGGAACCAAGACAACCAAAGAGGTGGTGTTGTAGGTAAAGGAAGAGGTGGTGGTCGAAAGACAGATAAAAGTCACATTCAATGTTTCAATTGCCAAAAGTATGGTCATTATGTTAGTGATTGTCCAGAAAGGAAGAGAAATCAAGAGACTGATGCAAAGCTGGCGAAACATGAAGAAGAAGAAACGTTGCTAATGGTCACAACAAAAGATGAAGAAAGATTCCAAGATCAGTGGTACTTAGACTCAGGATGCTCATCACACATGACTGGAAGGAAAGATTGGTTTGTCAACATGAAGCCCTCGTCGAAGAACACAGTGAAGTTTGCAAATGACAACACTCTAGCAACTGAAGGTGTTGGTGATGTTCTGATTATGAGGAAAGATGGCAAAATGTCAACAATTTCCAATGTGTTGTACATACCAGGCATGAAGAGTAATTTGCTCAGTATAGGGAAGCTTGTCGAAAAGAACTACAAGGTAGTTGTCGAAGACAAGATGATGAGAGTTCTCGATGCAGGTGGTAGATTAATCTTGAAGGCTCCAATGTGTCAGAATAGGACCTTCAAGATTGGACTCGATGTGATGGAGCACAAGTGTCTAGCAATTGCAGCCAGCAGAGATGACTGGTTATGGCATTTTTCGACTAGGTCATCTCAACTTTAATGACATCAGATAACTAAAGAGAAGAAATATGGTTTCAGGATTACCAGAAATCGACATTCCAAGGGAAGTCTGTGAGGAGTGTGTTCAGTCGAAACAACATAAGAATAGCTTCAGCAAGGATGCAGGAAGGAAGTCGAAGGCAATACTTGAAGTCATATACTCTGATGTATGTGGTCCAATCCAGGTGGATTCGATTGGTGGCAATAGATACTTTGTCACGTTTATAGATGATTACAGTCGAAAGTTGTGGACTTACCTCATCAAGAAGAAAAGTGATGTGATTGAGGTATTTTCCAGATTCAAGTCCATGGCCGAAAGACAGAGTGGCCGAAAGCTGAAAATTCTGAGGAATGATGGTGGTGGAGAGTATGTGTCGAAAGAGTTCGATACACTATGTGTAAAAGAAGGGATTGTGCATGAGGTGGTGCCACCTTACACTCCACAGCAAAATGGGATTGCAGAACGCAAGAACAGAACCATCATGAATATGGTGAGAAGTATGTTGAATGGAAAGCATCTACCTAAAGAATTATGGGGAGAAGCAGTTTCGACAGCAACATATATATTGAACAGATGTCCGACGAAGAAGCTTGAAGGAATCACACCAGAAGAATGTTGGTCTGGTGTCAAGCCCAGTCTCAGTCACTTGAAGGTGTTTGGATCTATAGCACATAGACATGTGCCAGATCAGTTGAGAAGGAAGCTTGATGATAATTCGAATCAGATGATCTTGATAGGATATCATTCGACAGGAGGTTATAAGTTGTTCGACCCAGTGAATAAGCAGGTAGTGATCATCAGGGACGTGATCATAGATGAGCTTAAAGAATGGGATTGGACTGAGAATGCCAAGAAGGATTCAGTGAGAATCTCTTATGAAGAACCAGTCACTGAAGTCGAAATAGAAGTTCGACAGGAACCAGTTGCAGATGAAGCAGGTTCAAGCAGACCTCGACGAACAAGACACATGCCTGCAAGGTTGCAAGAATGTGTAATTACATCAGATGATGTAGTCGATGAGGAAAGTGAGCTGGCACATTATGCTTTCTACGCAGATGTTGAACCAGTCAATGCAGTTGAGGCATTGAAAGATTCGAAGTGGATGAAAGCAATGATTGAAGAGTTGGAGTCCATCGAAGTTAATGATACCTGGTCACTTGTCGAATTGCCGCAAGGCAAGAAGGCAATTGATGTGAAGTGGGTTTACAAGGTGAAGGTAAATCCTAAAGGAGAAGTAACTCGACACAAGGCGAGACTTGTGGCGAAAGGATTTCTTCAAAAGGAAGGAATCGACTTCGATGAAGTATTCACACCTGTTGCTAGAATCAAAACAATCAGGTTGGTTGTTGGTCTAGCAAATATAAACAATTGGCACACATGTCAGATGGACGTGAAATGTGCATTCCTTAATGGCCCCTTAGACGAAGAAGTTTATGTTGCACAACCAGTTGGGTTTGTGAAACAAGGCGAAGAAAGAAAGGTGTACAGGCTTCATAAATCCCTGTATGGACTTAAGAAAGCTCCAAGAGCTTGGAATAAGAAAATCGACAACTTCTTAAGGGAGAAGGAATTTATGAAGTGTACAACTGAGCATGGAGTATATGTAAGAAGAAGCAATGGCGAATTGCTTATACTATGTCTCTATGTTGATGATTTTTTGATAACAGGGAGTTGCAAGAAGGAGATCGAAGATTTCAAACATGACCTGAGTGAGGAGTTTGAAATGTCAGACTTGGGAAATCTCTCATATTTCCTTGGCATCGAATTCTACAAGACAAGTAGAGGTTTGATGATGCACCAAAGAAGATATGCAGGCGAAATACTCAAGAGATTTGAGATGCAAGATTGCAACCAAACTTCGACTC